TAACCTCAACCAATCCACGAATTTGAGCGACCATCTTTTATTGTACTGAGGTAGACACCCGTTTCTTCCCGACACGTATTAGCTCCACTGGTCACGGCTTCTCACCAGAACTCCGAAAATTTTCTCACGAAGCTAGTCACTAGTGAGCACTGATAATAATGTTTCATTCGTTCGTGATATGTTTTGTAACTTATCACTTAAACCCCGACTTCTCCAAATCCTCCCACTGTTAAAATCTGAACAGAAAGTAAACATGTTCCATCAATTTTTGGTCAGTCAAAAATCTGCAAATTAAAAAGTAGCTCACTGATTTTTCTGACAAGTTTTAAAATAAGTAATGAAATAAAACATGTACCCAACTACATGTGTTAAATCACTTATATTTGAACGATGACCATCGTCATGTGGAATAACAAAGTTTTGAGATCAAAAAGCATTGATTGTCTACCTCGTATAGTTTGTCATGAATATTACTGGGATTTCTGTTTACCGAATCAATATATCAATGTTATCATGGTAGCTTTTATAACGGTTCGGTACAGTAGTCGATTAAGTAAGCATTTTCATTTGTCATTCGACAGCGAATAATCATCATATTCAATGATTGAGTTATCTAAACAATCTACATTAACAAATCTTTAAAATAATAGTTTAATACAAACTTTAAACTCTATTTTTGATATGTTTTACATATATACGTCTGCTTAACGGGACCACTAATAATAAATTCGCTCACGCCAATAATATCAGTGATTTCCGCTCAACCAATATTCCGACTAAGTGTGTTGACGATAAGTGACCCCGGTAAATTCATCCAATCCACATATTGTTTAATCAAAACAAAGAACAAATTATTCGATTTATCTGTTTCATTTTAAATTAAAAACTATCATGATAAACCATAGCAATTACAAGATTAGCAAATTCAAACTAGATCATTTTAGGCAAAAAATCTAACATACAGGTTCGTAATTAATCAGCTGCAGTCTTTCGACAGTAAAGAATATATCGACAGTTGATGAACTACATGAAAGTTTACTATTTAGGTAATACAAAAATTCCGTAAATCAAATAACTAATAATTAAATTGGTATAATGTAGTGAATAGTGCCAAGCTTTCATTTAATTTATAAATCGTTGTCTTGTGTTTTATTATTCGAGATTAATAATTAATCATTCACTCATGTATTACCCTTAGCTTGTATCACTTATGATAAGATTATGAACACATTGTAACTCTCCAAATGTATTACTATACGATCAAATACTTTAATTATATATTATTGTAAAACCTGTGAGCATTAATTAGACTGCGTAAAACCAAGAACTGATCCACTTTCTATCTTTTTCCTTTGATTGAACACTACATTAGAAGTAGCTCAAATAGTAACAAGTCTTAAGGTTTTGACTGTTGTTTATTGATCGATGTGCCAGCTGATAAGTAAATCACCAGTCATCAGTACATCTTGCTGACGAATGCCAAATAGCACGAAACCCGAGTTCAGGGTTGTTTGTTGACTACCTCTAACCACCATTCTATGTCAACATAGTGCACGCAATATCGAGTCATCTAGACTAATGGCCACATTGCAGTAAGGTCGATAGTATTCGATCTGCACTAAAAAGAACTTGACACACATGACATTGATCAGCACTCAGTGATCAATCACTTGTGAAAACATCATCAGTCGCACTGACAATCAAAGTAAACATTTTTAATAATAGGGCTAGAAACAAAGAAAAAGCATTCAACTGCTCTTCTGAAATTATGTCTTGATCATACATAATCCATTATAAATATCAACTATTGACTTATTGTTCTTTTATTATGTCATAAACACTTATTAAATGTTTATACATTTATTGATTTATCATAGAACAATTTTAAGATTTTCACGATCTCCGCATATTTGTTCAATTATAAACACGTTTTGTGAATATTCATTAATGTTGGTTATCCACAACATATATTAACTAAAAAATAAATAATTGTTAAAAATAATCAATTATCACAACTGATTGATCACTGGGTGGTGATGAATTTCATGTCTATCAAGTCCTTATTTAGTGCAGATCAAATGCTATCGATCATTTTGCAATGTGGCCACCAGTCTAGATGACTCGACATTGCAGGCACTATATATTGAGATTAGATGGTAGTCGATATGAAACACTTGACCCGGGTTTCGTGCTACTTGGCACTCGTCAGCAAGTGTACCTGTAATACAGGAGGTCAGTCGCGGCCCGGAGAGCTCAGTAGTAACGTCTCTGACTGTGAAGCTGGGTGACACGAGATCGAATCCGACAGGGAGCACCAGTTCCCTCAAGATTACAGGTACACCTTGCTGACGAGTGCCAAGTAGCACAAAACCTGGGTCCAGGGTTTCCAGTCGACTATCTCCAAACAACATCTAATAATCAATTATCTTCAATTTTCAGAAGATAAAAAATTAATCACTTCTAGAATGATTACTTTTTTCTCTTTCTTTCTTTCTTTCTCTCAATTTCCCTCTCTCTCTCTCTCCATCATTTCCATTTATTTTCAACCTCGTTTATTATTAATTAACATTTTTGTTTTGTTTTGTTTTAAAAAAAAATACCCGAACTGTACAAAACAGAAAAAAAAGTGGAAAATGGCAAGGAAATTATTTATTGATTAACTTTATTTATTTATTTTTTAATCCATAAACAATTAGTAAATAATCAATAAATTTGTATAAAATTAAATCAACAACAAGATAGTTAATCATTTCTACTAATGACTAATCCAATTATTGATTAAATAATTTAAGGTAGATTTTTGTTTGATAAAAACAAAATACAATACAACAGTATCTAGGTGTTTATTTAATGATGCATTTATGTATGTGTATTTATCTGTATATATTTAGATGTATAATGAAGAAATAAGACGGTTGAACGATTGTTGTAATGAACGAGTTAAATGAATAACAAAACAACAATCATTTATAAAATATTCGGAATAAATTTAATGTTAGGAGATTTTAATAATCTGAAATTGTTATTACCTTGATTATTATGTATTGTTTCCAGGTTTAGTGTAATTGAATAATTACTCAGGCTTAGGATTATTTTCATACTAAAGGAATCTATTTTGAATTTGATGACGTAGTATCAAATTGATCAAACGTTACAATAATAAAAAAGAAAAAGGCATAATAGAAGAAAACGAAGAAGAATTGAAAGTGGAATAACATTTTATAATAATATTATTACCGAACATTACCTTGGTACAAACAGAAAATTTTAATAGTTGAGATCATGAGTCAATTGAAGCTAGGCAACCATGGAAAAGCTGGAAGCACTGGATGGCCGTTTCGTCTCACATTTGTATAAAAGCTATAATTATTATGCGATAATTTCTTATCATATATTTTAAACCATCACTTTAATATAGATCCTATGTTTTCTCATTCAGTTTGAAACATACAAATCTATAATAACCTTTAGTTTTAAAATCAAAAACTTAACGTTGAAAACATTTGAAGTGTATGATTTGCCTTTGTTTTGCATTACAATAGTTCATATATTTTGCCCAGATTATATAAATCGGATGTGGAGTAGTGCTAATTAAAGTACTAAAGAAGACATATATATATATATATATATATATATATATATATATATATATAATTTGAGTGGGTGTATTTATACTTTTTGATAAAGACACGTACATCACATTGAAGTACAAGACGTTACAAAACTTAATAAACATTACAAAGAGCACTGAAATATATTTATTAAATAAAACGTTTTGTGACATAATTTTTTGATTAGAAAATTATTTTTATGTCTACTTAATTTAAAATGAGTTTTGATGTGAACAAATATTTTCAATCTTAAAAAAATACTAAATTTCGCTTACTTTCACAGTTTTGTGATAATAGATCAATTTAGGTTTTAGTTAATTATTTATCAGCTACAAATTATCTGATGAAAGATGATTCGATATTGTCAGCAGGACATTTGAGACTTATTCATTTATTGGTTGGTACACGTCAGCGGTGAATATCTCCAATATTAAGGTACTAATATTCTCTGCAGGATTTAAATCCACAATACCACAGATTAGTTATAACGTATTTGCTTTACAAGAATCTATTTTCGGATATTTGAATAAACGTATAAGCCAATCATTTGAGCTGCATGTTTAATCAATTATGTTTTTTACAATTATCTGACTCGAATGATTAAGTATGTTAAAAATACTCTTCATAATCATTCAGTAAAACTGAAGTCAATCTTAATGATAACCACGTTTTAAGAATCAGTTCCAATGTTGGACTTGTTAGTTTCAAATATATTAGGCAGTGAGTAGAAAGTTAAGAATAATTTTTTTGTTATATCTCAATGAGTGGAAAAATTATAATCCTGACGTTTCGTAACTTAATTTAAGCTGTTTCTTCAGAGTACATAAATAATGGAAATAAATTAACACAAGTTTAAATAGTACAAAGGAAATAATAACCACCTTTGCCAAACATGATGTTTATTAGAATAGATTACTTCTTTTGCTTCATTTCTCAACCATTTTATCATCAAAGAAGCCTATAAACATTTACCTCGTTTACAGGACTCTATCTCAGTGGTTAAATCCTTGTGATCTGTGCTGGACTTATTGGGCATAATCATGGTGTTACTGACATTCTGATTTCCAAAAATGGTTTTTTATTTGGTCATAATTATCTAGATCAAATTAAATTGATAGTTTGTCATTAAGTATCGGTACGTATCCATAAATGACAATAAATAAATAATAAATAATTTATATTTTAATTAAATTTCTATTTATTTTACAAATAAATAAATAACAGGATACTGATTCACATCACTAACATAGTAAACAATTACAAATTTATCTAGATGTATATTCATTATTTAACTACAATCAATCAAAAGAAAATAAAAATAGTTTATGGAATAAATTTATTCAATCAAACATTATAAATATTATTATCATTATTATTTATTTGTATTTTACTATTCATCTACTAACATATTTAATATACATAATATTAGAATGAATACAGTAGTAAGTACTAGGATAGTCGTAATATCGAAATTGAGGTTAATTTATAATAATAATAATAAAAAAACAGAAAACAGAAACAAATATTTGTTCATAATAATAAAATGCAGAATATTAAAGAGTATGATTTATTACAAATAATGATTGTCATATTAAAATATAATTTTATTAAATGTTATTAACAATTGTTGAAATAGTAAACAATTAATGTACTGCTGAATTATCATCATGTACATTAACTAACTACATGTATACGTTGTATAAGATGTGTTTATTTAGGATAGAAGCAATTGATAACATGCAAACACAACTATAACCCATTGTGATTATTATTATTATTACTGTTATTATTGGTAAATAATGAATAAATTAATAGAACGAAGAGCCAAAAATGAACCAATAGCATTGGTGTTAAGAAACAAAACAACAAAAAGCTGTGTATAGTGATATTTTTCAACTGATTTATTTGGAAAAACTAATAATTTATGTATGCATGTGTGTGTGTGTGGGATGGGTGGATTGTTTTGTGTATTTACTTCCATACACTAAATATATGTTGTTACAATTTCATTAAAAAAATAAATCAGATTTAATAAACAAATAAACCAACACACACACACGTACAGACACAATCGTTGATGTATTGTATAATGATAGGATAAACTTTCAACAAAAAAAGAAAGAATAATCAGTGTAGTGTTTTATATTTTTCATTGATCAGTAGATTTGACTGATTCATTCATTTCATCACAGTCTGAAGATATGAAAAACTGTTCCGGTAATTTTATTCCACTTGTATCAATGTTTATATTACCTGTAATACAACCAGATAACGGTTGTGAACCAAGTAGAGCAACAGAGTTAACTGCAGCTAATGCCTAAAATGAAGTGTTGAGAAAAAAAGGAATTAGCCAGCTATATATGGATATTTGAAGTACATTTAATTGATCGATTGAGTCGAATCAGAATTAAGGATTAGGACAAATATTATGTTTGTTTAGTATTCAAGGCTTATTCATCCGTCAATCAGTCAGTCGACCAGTCATACCGTAGAATCTAGTACATATGTACAGTGGTTCAAGTTGCCAAACATTATTAGCACAGAAAGATGAAATTATGAGAAAACCCATGATAACAGAGGCAGTGACAGAGTCAGTTGGGATATAAAGATTAGTCATCGAAGACACGATTAATGAACATAAAAATTAGTGAACTAAAAACACACAAGTTATGAGAAATTCAAGAAGACAAAAGAATTTTCTGACATTGCAAAAGATTTTGAGCCATGTAATCCAAAGATAGGATAATAACAAGAAATCTAACCATGTGATCTACACCTATTAACACGTTCATGTTCAATAGTCAATAACTTAATCGACTGATGTCATTTTTTGGTTTCAATGTCCTTAGCTTTCTTCTAGCTCACTCTCACCCAGTAAACATTACCCATCTAGGCAGGTGGTGGTCAGAACTACATCACTTGATGAATATTTACTCCACCATCAATCAATTTGTCATCCCTAACTAGTACCCTATAGAGAGATTATAGTCTATGGACGAGTCAATTTCAGTACCTGATACTCACGAACGAACGGTTCACAGAGGACTTTAGAGATGTGATAACTGAGCTGCTACAACAAATGGGACCACTAAGGAGTTACTTTATTTGTGATTGTGGTAAATAGATGAATTGTGGACCTTGTGAAGACTACCGCGATGTTGTCTTTCGATGTAATATATGTTGGAGGAAGAAGTCTGTTCCAGTAGGAACTGTTATCGCTCGATCCAGATTGAGACTAAGGCAAATTATGGTAATTATTGCGAACTGTACAATAAAAGCACCAATAACATTGCCTACAACATTCGCAGATGTTACTGAAGCTTTGGCTTTCCAGTGGTATAGGTATTGTAGAGATATATGCGTAATAAAAATGACAAGCTTGCACAACGGAGTGCACACAAACAATGTTGAAGCTATGTGGTCGAGGCTGAAAGAGTTTTGCGACCTTATCATGGCTCCAGAGGCCGACTATTATGGGGCCATATGGATGAGTTTCTCTACCGTGTGCATTACGATTTTAGAACCTCTGAATCTCTTTATAACCTTGACAAGTCTTTGAACCATGTAAACGAAGTATACCCACTTGAATTTTTTCGTTTTGTATAACATTTTTTACTCTATACTGTTTCCTGAGTGGCTAAACATTTTCAAGGTCATCTTGGATCCCTTCAAAGGTCATTCATAAACTATAGTCTCGCCGTACCTTACTCCTAGCCCAGACATAGATTACTCAGTTCCTCATCCAAAAAGTAGAATGGGGCAAATCGCAGCGCAGTGAACTTGTCTTTGGTTTTGAGACGGACATCTCGACTACTCCACAAGTGACGCAATTCGGTAAGACCCAATAGAGCCTTTTGAATCAGTGCCAAAGTTTCGTCAGACACGAGAACACCAGGACTGATGAGACTCCTAATACAAGCGACGCGTCTGATGCATCCAACGATTTCACTCCTTATCATTTATTCAACTGGTGACGCAGGTCAATCCTGAAGTAACATTTCGCATCTGAGAGGAAAGAACCAAATACCAAACTGTAAATATCTCAATCATATAGGGATTCAGACACAAGCCATATAACTTAATTGTAATGTCTCAGAATACGAGACAGGAGGAAGATTATGGGCTCCCATTTACTGGATGGCACCATTTTTTAAAGATTGTAGACAGGCCTTAGCTAACAAGCACCACCCAGCACGAAACAAAGCCTAGGTCTCGGATTTCCTGTCGACAACGTACAACCACCTACATTTTCAAAGTAGTGTAATCAATGTAGATTCAGCTAGATCTCTGATCTCATTGTAACTTGATCAACAGGAGTCATTAGGTACAAAGGACTCAACGATTATCTGATGCGAATTTCATTACTTATTGAGTATTATCAGTGAAAAAAATAATAGTCGGGACATCATAAAACAATTGTAATCAGTATTGCGAATCAATAAATACCAGCTAAATAACGTGCTTTAACGTAAGCATGTTTTCATACATGTATGTAGATTACTGAGGACAATAAAAAAATCAAGATAGTTTTAAAGTATATTATCCGATTTCCATTGTTTTATCAGCTGACGAAACAAGTCACATTCAAAAAAATGCTGAATGCTAAGACTCTAATTGTAGCATGAAAAAAATATTTGTCAGTAAAAATATCAGTCAGACGGACCGATCGGATTGATGACAGAGCCCTTTCATCTCTTGTAGAAATTTAAAATGCTATGATGAATAGCTTTTGCCTAATTAATAGTTAAGTAAAATTTACCAATATTTCAATAACAAGATGTGTAAAACTAACAATGGTAGCTCTAATACAGTGACCGAGGCAATTTAAGGGCTTTTGAGATTTGAAATAATTTGAAAATGCTATATTCTATGTGGTTGCAAAACATTCTATACCTGGTATACTGTCATTGATTTTTCTAATTTTTTTAGCTATTCATTAAATATTCACATTAGTATAATAAACACACTTAGAAATCCTCATACAAACGTTAGAGTTGAAAGAATAAATTAATCACAAAAATAAAACGCGTTAAATATATGTTTCCCATTTAGAACTGCACACTTAATAAATGCAGGATTATGTCATTTAAAGCAACAAAAGTTCTCAACTTCCTTCTCAAGTAAATGAGCACATAACCGGAGACAGCGGAGGCAAGAGGGTATGTAATTATCCTTCTGAATGTTTGCTGTACCGTTTAATTAGACTATGTACATTAGATTGTTTATTGGAATTCATCCCAGGAGAACCAGCTCAGTATTTGAACCTAAAGCAATGTCTACTTCGGCGAGGTTATTAGAAGTATGATTGAAGCCCTCAGTTACACAAAGCATGAATTGTGCTAGTCCTCTACATTGAATAAATAAAGTCAAGTTAGTGACCATACATGGATCCACATCACCAAAAAGGGAAAATACAAATATTTAGGAATATTTAATATCAGTATACGTGTATTTGTAGAAATTATAGAAAAACAAAATAGTCGTCCAATTCTTGGGGGTTTTCAACGGTTTAATTAGGCCTTAATTTAAACGATGAAAACATATAAGTAAAAACAACTATGTTTACTTACTGTTTGACTTGCTGACAATAACGCAGCAGCATTGGCTGGATTAATATCTGCATTGCTGACGACTCGTTTCACTACTTCTTTTGTATGAGCATGTGTAAGTTTTTCAGCAACATTTAATTTACTTTGAAAGAATTTAGTATCATCTATAACACCAGCAGCAGCTAGACCACTTTTAAGTGAACTATTTAATCCATAACCTAATTGTAATTGACTGCCTTCTATGGTAGTTGGTCCACCAATCGGTGATGTATAAAGATTGCCACCAGCTTCATTAATACGCGACTCATTAGATTTAATCATTGATATAAATTCAGCGCGATGTTGTTTATCGGCTGGTCCCCACTCATGTACAGGTTTTAGGAATTCTTTTAATAACTAATCAAATAAAAAAGAAAAGAAACTATTTGTCTAAATTTAATTGTTTTTAAATAGACAAACGTGACAATAATAATTTTATTGATATCGCTAAATGTTTCAAGTTGAACAACTATTGATAACCAAGAACCGTTGAACTGTTTCGTCCTAGTATTGAACTTCACAACCATGCAAACGAATTAAAGTTAGGTATGTAGATCATTTGCTGAAGGCTTATTGACCTAGAGGTCGAGAATCTGCTACGAGACCTGAAAGTTTAAAACTCACAGGTTGGTTCTTGAAGAAGACCCAGAATAAAAATAGTTAAATGCAAAACGCTTTTTGATTTTCAATGACAGTTGAACTAAAATTAATCAGTGGTGCAAACTTTAGAATTCAATAATCACCACAAATTGTTTGTAGTATTAATGTTAAATTTCATAACGAAATAAGAAATACTTGAAAAAGAATCAGACGGTATAAATTGAACTATTGTTTTTCACAAGTTTGAGATTACTCAAAGTTGAAAACTTATGACAATACATATAAACATGTAAGAAATTGAACTTTATATCTGATATCATATAAAGATCACAACGAATTGAGCTTAATACTACAAATTCATTTATAATTTGAAAGTTTTATCAACAAAAAAGGACTTGAAATGCTTTAATCAGATTTAATGTGATAATCAACATTTGACAAATGTTAAATGTAGGGAACAAATCAGCTTTCATGCCTTCAGTTTTGAATAAAAACTTAGCATAAAAAATAAGTAACAATTCAACAAAATTGTCTAATTTACTTTGAATACGATTGTCAAACAAAACATCACAATACTTCCTTGATTATTACAAATGTATACAGAAAAACAAAACGGAGACAATGACCTTCTGATAGCAAAATGTAGAATCAACAACTATGTACTGTTTTCAAATGATACATTTTTTAGTTAAATCCATTGGTAAAAATGATGTGTAATTTTATTTATTCAACATGAAACTGAGATAGTCATGGTTTTTTTTTCATTAGTTATTTTTATAGTTTAAGATCTTATATTCATTTACTTAAGCACATAAATACTGGTTCAGAGAGGCACCAAATATAAGTGCTCCAAACTTCAGCATCCGACTTGAGTAAGGGTTGGAATAATGTCTATGTGCTCAAATAGAAGCAGGGGGCTACTACTGCTGGAGCTTTTGACAGCGGTCCTATCCACAATGCAGTGGAGCAATATAATAAGAATTAAAACTCTCTTATTTTATTTAATATAAAGTGTAAAATTGATGTGAAATTACACAACTTAAATAAAATAATATGAATCGTATACTTACAATTAGTTATGCAAAAACATAGATATAAATAATCTAATCTCAGTGATTAAAATTTAAAACTGTTCTAATAATCCATGGAAAATAATTAAAATTAAAAATGATCACAGAATATATTATAATTGTCTTCTATTAATAAATAGAAGAGACAGAATTCAGTGAATTAATCAGTGGTAAATGGTGATTATCAAATTAAAAAGAATGAATTTTAATAATTAGCCTGTCTATACTACCTGGATCTTGTTCCTAATAAAAAGTTACTTCTCCGGAGTTCAAGTGACAAACCGTAACCAGTGGAGTTCAACCATGTAGTATATGAGTCAGTTACCCACCGAAGACATTGGAAGATGATTGCACAATGTCTTGGATTGGTTGAAGTTATACATTAACATCGTTGAACGATAGCCCATCGGTCTAGAGGTTAAGCGTTAGCACGCGAGACCAGGGCTCCTGGGTTCGAATCTAGCACGCGTTATCGTGGATGTACACTTCTGAAGAATCTCATACTAGTACGAAACGACCGTCTAGTGCTCCCAAGTTTTCAGTGTTAGTCTGACATCTTATTTAAAACTCAACAATCCCCAAAACCCTATACTGATAAAATGCAACACATTATTTAGTCATCATATTTGAATTTATCTATGTTTGTCTTTAATTTAACATCTTAATGAACTATACAACGCTTCAACATAGAATATTTTTTTCGACGATATCATTTTCCATAGCTATACAATCGTATTCATAGGTAATTTATTATTTCTTGTGGAACAGGTTACATTGGTCGTACAAAGAACGCACTCGGTAAAGGAATATCCAAGCGCTGTATAGTTATTTAAAGCAGCATGCAAATCAATCAAGAGTTCAGTCATCAGACAGATAGTCAATTCAGGTTACAGCTCGCCAAACGCTTCTACGCTAAAAATCCTCTAGAACGCAATGTAATTTGTAAAAAAACGCATGAATTATGAAATGTGAGACAATGGATTGATGATTGCAAAAGCAACAGTCCGGTTTGTTATGATGGGATGGTATTTTGCAAATTAACGATTTACTATATTGCTTTTCTATTTTACCAAGTAAAGACTACGAATTAATGGTTCTAGCTGCAACAAGGATAAGGAATTCAGGTAATAAATTCTTATTAATAAGTCACTTACTAGAAAACCACCTTCACTGCAGTATTTATAAATAAACCAACCAACGATTAATAATACAGTCCCAGCAGATAGTGATTGGTATAATACATATGCCCAAGGTGGGAAAGAATAATTCTTTTCTTTTAATTCAATCCGATTTGTTAATACAGAAATAATTAGTAAAAGACAAATAGTTGGTGTAATTACAAGCCAGCAAATACGCCAATACCAATTAGGTCGTTCATTTATCATCAATTCAATATCGCATCGAAATTGTCTTAAACCTAAGAGTGATTCAATGAACAAAAGTGATAGCATATAACTGCAATAATAAATTTATCACTATGTAAAAAATCTATGTATATTTTTTAACATTTTGAATAGACAACAAGTATTTTTTGAAATAACGATTATTGCATTCTGGGTATATGCATGAACATACAAGTAAATCCGTAAACTTGGTACATTTTAGTCAAAGAGAAGACTATCCAATTAAGCAGTCTTCTACATTGATTGGGAGAGGTTTCTGGATGGCCATAGTTATTGTCCAGCACAATATAATACAAAGTTTGATGAAGTATCTATTCAACAGGAATGACCGTATCTGTGCAAAGATAATATAATTGAAGATGAAGTAAGACTGATGAAGGAAAGCTTGATGGAGAATGTCTACAAAAACACTCATGAATCGACTATATTATGTTCCGACCTAATATGATTCAAGAACCCAACATAGCCATCTACATTATCCTGCCATGTGTGTCAGTCGGTCACAACATTGAACCTGTACTTATGTACATCAGTTCAAGTTGCCATACCACATCAGCACATAGAGATTAAGCCGTCAGGTCAAACCTGCTATGTAAGTTGAAAAGCTGAGCAGTCATTTTGTTATACAAAGAAATGTCATACTCGAAAAAGTGTTGGAGTGAAGTTATGTCAAGTTCGATCCATTCGTAACACATTCGGACGTATCAGACAAATGTCAATCAAATACACCAAGTCAATCAAAGCTAAGTTTGAAAACACAATCATCCCTCGAATGAAATAAACACCATTTGTTTTAATAAAATTTTGACTAATGTAATTTTGAAATAACTGTTTGACAAGGCAGCTAATAGAAAAAGCTTAATCACCAGATAATAATCAATTTTCTGTAATAAGTATCAATGAGACCATTTTCTAAAAAGCTGATTTATACGAACATTCAACGTTTCCGGAAACCCTATTTACTTCATTTTTGTATTGCTTGTTTGAATCTTCCCATTGATATTTAGGACTGCAATTGATCAGTCTCTTATTGGCATATGCGTATCCTGTACGGATTGCCTCAATATTGCCTTTGATCACAAGCCACCATCCATCTCTACTTATAATGCTTGTTTAAATACACATTATTATATGTTTAAATCAATTTCAAATCATTTATTTTTTCTGAGGACGATCGTACGTTTTAAAAACATTGAATTTTTTCTCACAATGTCAATTTCACAGTCGATTTCAAGAAGTTTCAACAGTGAAGACATGAAAAGGCCCTAATTTTAATTTTTGAATAACCATTTTTTAATACTCTATGCCAAATTTGTCTAATTCTTTTGTTGTTTGTCAAATTTTATCGAATAAACTGAAAGCGTAAACATTAATAATCGTTGATTTTCTTTATAAATCATAAAACTAATAATTCTTCATTCTCTTTTAACTGTTATTCAATTTTATGTTTATTTCATAATGAAAAGAACCAATACAGATAAAGCTATCGATAGATTTTGTTAATATTTTAGTGTTTCTAATTTAATCCTTAATCCTAATTAGGTCCGAATCATTTTACTATTAAACAACATTTTTCTATCATATTTGAAATAACTAAAATAAACCTAAACTTTTGAATAATGTAAATAACATATGACCTACCATATACATATGTAATGACAACCGTTTCACTTAGTGCAACAATTAATGGAGCATAACCACTCATTACACTGTCATATATTGTTACAAGATAATATCCACCAGCACAAACCATTGGCAATCCCATGAAAAAATTCAAACAACATACTGATATCCTGTAAATATGTGAACAAAAATTATTATTATTATTATTATTATTATTATTATTATAGTAGCGAAGAGAAATGTCACTAGTATACATGGATACATATTTAATTAAGTAATGCAAATCCAACAAATTTGACCGCGAAGTTATGTAATTAAACGGACAATATTGTTTTGCATAAGTTCATATTTACCATTTGACGTATAATACACTAACAACGAATTTATCATTCAGATAAACGTAGTTTTTGCGAAAAATATCACCCAAAAAATTGAAATACCATCGATTTTGTTCACTTTTACGAGAAAGTGCAATACTTTAAAAATATTGTACAACGCATTAAGTGTTCACAATTAACCATTCGGAATTTGAATTATTTTTTTGTTTCATGATGGACTACTTAAACTAAAAAACAGTACGTCATAATTTAGCTGAGACATTCGAACATCCTACTTGTCTGTAATAGTCATATACTCGATTTTAGCATAGACTTTTTTCAAACAGATACACTTTCCTTTTCAAGATTTTGTTACAAAACTGGTTGTGTTTTTTTAGGAATGGTTTGATGTATCAGATCTTTTTATCATATTGGAAATCGTGATTTATCCAGTCAGATTTGGATGTCGAAAGGAAATTGCTCATTATGGGAATAAACATCATATTTAATGTTATCACCAATTTACCCAATATTTTACCTAAGTTGTGAAAAAAAATATGTATGACAACGAAATCTATGGCTGAGGAAAACAATAGATGGTGAGATGATTTGCACAAAATGTTCCATTATCTAAAATATTATGGTGTGCTCTATTAATGTGGACAGACATAAGTAGTATGTAGCAGAAATAGGAAGTGGAATTCTTAACAGCAGAAGATTAAAATAAAAAGAAAAGGATGAAAAATAGAGAGCAATCAAAATAACAGGATTAGAAGAACTATAGAGTATGTAGAGAAGAACTCTGAGAAGATATTCAGATGAAATAATTAATGTTTGATTTTCATATTCTACAGAGGCATAGTGTGAATTTTGTATAAATAAAAAAATTGGCTTTTACCTTAACAAGTCTTCGTTGTTTACAATACTATTTATTCTAAATTCGAATTATTTGAACATAGTGAGAACGTTATTGCTCCACGTGTTGTCCAATCCAATACCTATATTGTTCTTCATTGAATATCACATGTACATAAACTGCTAGATCGAATGAAATCCGATGAAATTTGAACTTTATAATTTTAGTCAGCTTGAAGTGTATTTCATAACAAGTGTAAATTTAATGAACTTGATATATATTTTAAAAAAGCATTTAAGTTAGAATAATTCCACTACTGTTGATTTTTCTCTGCGACATTATTTGAATAATTCACTAAATGGAGAAAAATTTATTTACTACCGGTAAAATATTTGATTTTCGTCTAAACATCTCTAATTGGCATCGGTTATAGCAAAAGATGTTTGGAGTTTTTTGACCAAACTATTGCTCCATATGAGATTTAAGTCAGTTTGATTCATATAAGTTACCAATAAGCTGTTGTGGTATTGACTGTCTCACCATGCAGATGTGAAACGTCTACATTCATCAATGTAAAATTATACTTCAATATCGTTTGTATGAAACAAAAGATAAAAACTACAACTCCCGTAAAAATCCACTTAAATGTTAAGCATTTCATTTAAAGAGATGAGAATCGTTAACATAATTAAGATAAATAAATATTTGTAGTGACTTTAAATGCTATATATTATATTGTCTAAAGACAGCGCGTGTGTATGGAAGGTACAAGTTAAAAGAAGAATGAGATGTTAGAGAAACAACATCTATTGTACGTGACGTAAAACACAATATACAATACAGTAAATTATAAAATACAAAATAATATTAATCACTTGATTACGTAATTGGGTATAGGATTCAACAGAGAAAATTTATCATGTAGTCAAATCGTTTTTTTGCGTGAATGTATTCTCTAGTCCAAAAGATGCAGAATTTTCCCAATATAATCGTCAAAATTAAATTTATAGCATAGCTATATCATAACCAATCAGACAATTAAACAATAATAAAAAAAGAACCTACTAAAAATGTATACACTTCCAGCATCCACAATCAAATTCAAAGTAAACTACAGAGATATGCCATTACCAATCGTAGCGAAAATATCCCACAGATCATTTATGGTCTTGAATTATAAATTAACACTAACTAGGTAGTCTCTAAATCTGTTCACAAATTAGTTTTGTACAGTCACATGAATGATATAATTCAATCAGCTGTAATCAGTCCCTACCTCACTTATTCCAACATTTTGTAGGCTGGAATTAATCAATATGCACTAATATTTAAAGCTGTCTTATCCTATCTGTGTTAAGATAAACAGATTAGCTTTTACGATTTATGTTAAATTACTAATAACCTTAGGATCAAGCGATATAGATAAAGCAATTTGAAAGAAAAAAATTAACCTCAGTAGATCAATTTCCTTATTTGAAATTTTAAATATAACTTGACCTGAATTTCCCGTATTCTGAGTAAAATGGTTTTATTTCCTCAATTCTCTTTTGCGAAACATTAAACTTATTGTTGTGCCTGACCCATATATTTATTTGCCTTCATCTTTCAACATACAATCTAGTCATATTTGAATAAACCTATACACATATAGATCTTCATTTTGCATATCTAAACGATAAGGACTTGAAATTTTAGCCTAGATTGTTTTCATGTGAATTTATAGAAAGTAATTAAAACAGAAAAGCAAACCCATAAGGAGTGTATCACCCATAAATATCCGAGTTAATTATGTGATATTTATTATCATGATACACAAATTAATGAAACAACATAGTAATGAAATTGAAACAAATAACCAAATTTTTTTGATATCAGTAATTGACCTTAGTTAAAGGAACCTTGAAAACAGGAAGCACCGAATAGCTCTTTCGTCTTGGCATGAACTATTGAGCAGTTGTTATACACAACCTACTTGGGTTCGGGCCCAGGATATTCCGGTCTCAATGTGAGTCCTTAATCACTGAGCTGGTCTCAAGAGATTAACATATCTAATGTTAGTCGAGTCGTTCATACAGACTGGTCAGAAGCCCAGTGATAGAACGCAATAATTGTCCATTACATCCTGACTTTCAACGGTCCCCTAGTTTGGGTCGGTTCTGAATTAAAATAACTTCCAACAAACATAAAAACAGACGATGCTCATAGTTTTTTGCTTAGTTTAAACACATACCGGAACGCAATTTTACGTCTTTCAGTTAGATGAACACCTAATCGTCTGAATTCATCCTGTATACCAGAAAGAGTAGTCTCCAATATAGAGAACTGTGAACCGAAACCAAGTGTTAACATCATTGTGAAGAATAAAACTGACCATAAACTAGAAAGTGGCATATTTGTCATTGCTTCAGGATATACAATGAAAGCAAGTCCAGGTCCTTGATGATTAAAAGAATAGAAATGATAATTGTGAAATTATATCATTGAAAAAGGAAAATGATGAATAAAAACATTGTACTGCAACGATTTCCTGCTCAAACACAAGTCACGTTTTGTTAAAAGAAAAACATTTCCGAAGCCATAAAATTAATAAAAACAAATTATCGTTTAATAATAAGTAAAAAAATGTAACGTTTAGTAACATCTCAAGTCAACATGGACCATTATAATATTTTCATTTATTCTATCACTCATATGTTTGACCACGTGTAATCTTCTGAATATTTTATGCATGAGTTTAAACGCTAGTACGTATGTGTATATATATATACCTGTATCTCTCTGATGCTTATAAAAATTGTGTCACCTATTACTAACGTAGTTGGGTATTTCTTCCGCTCCAGATGACATGCATGTTTTTGGTCTTTTATCGTTCGATACCATTATAAGGTTCATGAAGTACTTTCGTATTCAGATCAAACTTGTTATTCGCGGGATTTGTCGACAGGAAATACAAGCCCCTAGCTTGTGCGATGGAGTGAAGTATTAATTCATTTTGTATTATTTGTTTGAACCTTCCCATTGATGTTTAGGACTGCAATTGATCAGTCTCATTTTGACACATAGGCATCCTGTGCGGACTACCTTAGAAGATTCCTGCTCTTAATAACTCTCCTCATTTCCATTCATCATTTACACAATTAACCAGCTATAAAATATATCATCTGAAAATAAAACATATAAGCAAAAATGGATGGGGGCTAGCAGCGCAACTTAAGACGTGCGCCTTGTAATACTTGGAACTCGTCAGCTGATCAATTGCAGTCCTAAATATCAATAGGAAGATTCAAACAAACAATAGAAAATGAATTAGAAACCAAACCTGTTCTGAGCTTAGGTAGTCAACTGTTATCGTGACCTTATATCACCTATGCAGTATTCGTAGTCTATTATAATGCTTCATCACATTCAAATATCCCGGTTGTTTTTCTCAATATACTAAGTTTACTCCAACAATCGGCCTAAAGCAATTTCACAACTTTAAAAGAACGGTTAACATATTCATCGAACACACTGATACACAATTTGCAAACTGATATGCATATGTACAATAAAAAACTTTATAACATTAGATTGTAAGCCTGTTGTTGTTAAAATAATTACAATGCGTCGAAATCAAATGGAAACATTTTATCCTACAACTCATCTTCTTTTGTTAGCATTTGGAGCAAGCAACGATAGATCATAGTGGCGTGATGTCTATTGCAGGTTTTCTTATCTGATGATCATTAGTTAGTCGATTAAAAATAACGCAGAATTGGGTACATATTTTCATTGATTCAAGTTGAGACGTCGTTACACCACAATAAGAAAAAATTATCAGGCCAAATGGTGGAATAGTTTAAGTAGTAACAGTATTTGTGGTTGCCGAAAAAACAATATGATTTGAGAAAATTCGCAAGCTCCATACCATAAGGTTTCTTCAAAATTGAAGATACATCGGAAGGCCAAGAGTGCATACTAGAGTTGATGCTATCGATTCTGATCGATATCATGTAATATCTCCATTTACTGGTTGCAAAACTGGCCCGAACACAAATATCTACGATGACGGTTCAATCTAAAACGCGTTGACTTTATGAGCTGTCTATGCCCCGGCTTGTCAGCCCCCACATTTCTGCCAACCTAATCCATAATGCATGGAAGTAGGTGTTAGTTGGTTATACATATTTTAATGTCCAATCCCCTCCAGTCGATTATTAAGCCGTCATGCCGAAACACGTATAAATAATTTTACAAATTCGACTATGAATTGCAAAAAATGTAAATTTACTTGATTCATGTTGGTGGGAACGAAAAATAGGCACACAGAACAAGATAGTATATTTATATTACACAAAAGCAACCATCGATCCATTAATCCTATCAAACAAAACGACATTACACACAGATGGGGTCAATATTAATCAATGAGAAACGAAAACAAAAACCTAAGAACATGAGAAAATGTTAACGGAATAAAAATGAAAATAAAACAGTAACAAACACATCACGACAATATACACAAAATTTCTATCTGTGGATAAAACACAAACACATGGGCATGTAATTTGAAGTCACTTACCGCTGGATGCAACTTCAGAAATTGTTGTATTTTTTTGATAAGCCATAAAACCCAAATTAGAAAATATTACAAAACCAGCATAGACAGAAGTTGCACAATTGATGATTGCCACAATGACAGCATCTCTATTTAAATTATTCAGTGAAAGTGAAGTTGTAAAAGTACATGATGATAACGATGAGAAAATAATAATAATAGTAATAGTAATAATAATAATAATAATATTTAACTGTATAATGTGTAAGCCGTGATTGTACGTACAATCAATTAACCATTAATGTGTTGTTAATTAAGGCTCATTGAATTATCTATATCAAGCTGGAATTTGACAACACTAATGGTCTAAATAAATTGAAATTAAATGTTCGTCTGATAGTAAGTGACTGAAGGTAATAATTTGGTAGGTAACCCTGGACCTATTGTTTCATGCTAGCCGTTAACTCTTCCGGAGGTATAATTACAATATCTAGAGTGAATTGAAGTAGTACTTAAAATGCTAACCTGCATCACCCAGTTTTAAGGTGTACGTCGGCATCGTCACTATAGAATAAGTCAGTTATAAATATCTGAATCCTATAGAAGATGGTTGTAACCTGAATAAGCTTGCGGTCACTTCTCAGACCATGTGGCTGGGTTAAACGGGTTTTAATCCTACCTGTAACATCATTCCACTCAAGAGTAGAGTTACGTCTTGCTGTCACGTGTCAACTAGGATGAAACATAGGTCTAGGGTTTCTGGCCAACTACCTTCAATAGCCTAATGTGGTAATAGAAGCCAAGGGTTTCAAACATAACTCATTTAAGTAACACTTTAAATCCTTATTTTCATCATATACATGAGCAGAAAATATTGTTACAATTTTAAGATCTGCATAAATGGTGATTATAAAAAGCACTGAATTAGTTAATGACGAAACACGTAAAATAACAATACAAATAATAATTCATAATGTAAACTTATTGGTGTCCCAATCCTTAGATTAATAATAATTATATAACTATAACTACTACTAATAATAAATCAAATAGGTACAACAAAACATGTAACATCATACTGACATTACTTCTCAATAAATTTAAAGCTTAGTGAATATGGGTGTACATCCAAAAGTTAAACGTGAATGAATTTCATGTATCATCAATTCTATTCGCCTCACACATAAATGATAAAACGTCTTAAAAATAAAACTTGAAAATAGAAAACGATGGAAAACAAGAGAAGAAAATCGGACAGTGAAAATTGACAGGTATTGTAAACAAAATCAAACTTGACAGTGTTTTCAGCATAGATATTTGTACTAATCATAATATTCTCTCAGGTTTCAAATCAAATACTAGCCTTATCTAGAACTTTGCTAAAAACTTGAAACGACTGGACTGACATTTCATCCTAGTCAACAATAATAACAATCCGATGTATCTGGGCGCATCATTATTTTAGTCTATTATTTTTAAGATTTCACATAAGTTTGATATGCAAAATTTATTGCATCATCGAGTAGTCATGTAAACCACTAAAGCTGAATTACTTTCGACAGTAAAGACCATAATTTACTATTGAGTATCATAAGACCAATTACTTGAAAGAGATTTTAACTAGGAAAATCGAGCATCAATAGACAATTGATAGAAATGACGATATAACTTGACATAATCATATATCAATGAACATAGACAAACAAAATTATGCCAGTGATGTAACACTATACTGTCCACTTACCTACAACAGTTATTCTTAAATTTATTATAACTGGACACAGTTATTAAACCACCGTTGCAACAGCCCAAAGAGAAAAATATCTGTGTAGCAGCATCAGCCCATACTTGGGGATCTGTTAATCGTGAAAAATCAGGTGTTAAATAATAAAGTACACCTGCTCCTGAGCCTGGGAGAAGTGCTCCTCGTATGAGAAGAATTGTTAACATGATATATGGAAATACACTTGTAAAGTAAGAAACCTATAATAGAGCAATCGAGTAATGTACACATTTCATATTAGTAATTAGAAACAGACCTAACAAATTAGATTATGAACTCATCAAATCTTAGTTTTACATTTTATCAGTTTCGTTTAATGCGTATACTCTAGCAATAAAGGTTTAATGGATAAACAATAAAATTTATACCGTGAATAAGCAATGGTGTTTATTAATGAAAAACGTTGAGTAAAATGTAGCATACCGGTAACATACAAACAACCGATGATTGCCGTGTCAAATTAAGAATTAATCAAAGTTGAAGACATAAAGCGTTGGATTAAACTTGGTTTAAACGAGATTGTTAAACGGTCGGATTTCTCGTCTATACAAATAGGAAGTCAGTTTGCCTTAAACGAATATCTACACTAGATTCACTCCCAGTGTCTATTCTATAGGATATCAACACAACTCAGATCAAGAACACGTGGTTAGCCTGACTAGAACGTAAATATACTTCCACATCAAAGACCGATAACAATGCGTCAGCAACCCAATAATAATAAGGGTAAGAGAATATATAACTCATCTAGTACCTGTCAGACTATCTATTAGTCTGACTAAGCTAATAACCAATCATTATCATTCTCGCCCACACATAAGCTCCCTCGCAAAGTTTGCTCATATGACTTAACCTTTAGGTCTATTTGAAAAAATCTCGTTTGTTTCCCTTCTTTTGATGACCTTCGGTTAGCTTCTGATTTCAACTGATTTCTCATTTCAACATGAGGTGATGGTCGAATATTGAGTGTTTCACGTGATACTTCCACTGGCAAAGGTTTGAATTTAGATGACTCCTAACATTTTTTCTGTCTCGCAGTTGATTTATGTGTCTAATAATTAGTGTATTTTCGACCATTACTTCATACAATATCTTCCCACGTCTTTTATTCAGACGCCCAAATATCCATTTTGGCTTTCCTAGCCGGAAATCACGTGCATAAACTAAGTCACCCGCTTTAAATTCTCGAATTTTCGGACTATTCCCTTTGTATTTTGTAGCCCACTCGTTCTATCTTTCAGGTTCAAAACATCAAAAAATGTACTAATTGGTCGACCAAATATTATTTCGGCTGGACAGTTTGAACTAGGTTTAATTCCATAAGAAATTATAAACTGTTGCAGAGCCTCTTTAACGTTATCTCCTCCCATCTTTAGAAGAGCTCGCTTAAGAACATCGATAAATCTCTCTACTTGCCCATTTGACTTAAGGTGATACAGTGAAGTTCTAATGTGCTCGATTCCATTTTGTTTGCAGAACTCCGAAAACTCTGATGATGTAAATTGCGTTCCGTTGTCTGAAACCAAAATATTAGGTGTTCCAAACCTACCAAATAGTTGTCTGAGATGTAACAGTGTTTCAAATGTAAGGGGTTTTCGTACAACGTAGATTTCAGACCATTTAGAGTATGAATCTACCACCACCAAAAATATTGTCTGCTTATCATAATCCAGCATATTCGATGTGTACTTGGACCCAAGGCTTGTTCGTCTCTGACCATGGCTGGGATTTTACTTTCAATGGATCTTTTGCACCTTCGGAACATCAACGACATCTCAATAAGTGTTCTTCCATAATCTTATCCATGAATGGCCAAGAGACATAACTACATACAACTGCCTTCATTCTGTTCATTCCCGGATGACCAGTGTGAAACTGTTTAAGCACAAAAAAACTGAAGAGATATAGGGATGACAATGCGATCGCCATACGTCATACAATTATCATAAATCGATATAGACTCACGTGTCAAAAAAGTTTGTGAAACTCAATCCACTATATCCTTTTTCTAACCCTTTAAAGCAGCTCCTCTTATTCTCTTGAGTAGAGAATAATTTGCCGTTGCTTTTTCAACCGCTTCTGCCGTTACTGGGAAGATTCTGATAGCATCACAAAATACTTTTTATTTCCGGTGCAAGTGATATGGAAGCAACCACGCTATCTTCCTCTAATTTGAAACTATTAGCAATTAACCTCTACAACCCATACGAGCTGACGGTTTGTACAGTAATTCGAAGTCATATCCTAGCAACATAGCAGCCCACCTAGTCAGCCGATTTGCAATGTGAATGAGTATTCCTTTCTTAGAGCTAAATGTTGCCAGCAACGGTCTATGGTAAGTCTGCAAGGTAAAATTCCTACCGTATAGCATCTTGTGGAACTTCCTAACCACCAACATTAGGGCTATAGCCCCCTTTTCGATTTGATTATAATTCTTTTCAGTCACAGTGAACGTGCGTGAAGCATGAAAAATGGTGTTTCGTGAACCATTAAGAAATTTATGAAGAATCGACGTTCCGATGCCATAGCCAGATGCGTCAGCCGCTGATATTGACTCAAGATTTGGGTCATGGTGAGGAAGCAATAAAGCAGACGCCAAGATCTGTTTCATTTTTTAAAAGGACACTTGACATTCCTTACTTCAGTTACATGTAGTGTTCTTAGTTAACAGTGCATTCAATGTAGGAGCAAGCAGAGCACAAAGTGACTATAATAGTTTGTCATCCCCAAAAACATAACTGAAGCATTTTAAAATTAGGTGGAGCTGGTATATTTATATAATGACATGTATCCTTTCAGGATCAGGTCTACGTCCACGAGAATCAGTAAGTGTTCCCAAATATGTAATACTTATCATGAAAAATGAACACTCTTTTACTTTTAAACGAAAGCCATACTCTCTAATGCGAGAAAAACATCTTGTAAATGGTCATAGTATTCTTCTTCACTTCTACTGGCAATAATAATATCATCCATATATACCATGGCAAACGGGACATCGTTTAACATGGTGTCCATGACTTCTTGGAAAATTGCCGGGGCACATTTTATAAAAAAAGGCAGTCTATTATAATGGAGCGATCCCCGATGTGTGTTCACTGTCAGCAGGAATCTACAAACTTCTTCAACCTCCACCTAGAAATATGCACCCGAAAAATCAATCTTCGAAAATATGGAGCATCCATTCAACTTAGTAAAAAAATTCTCTGACATGGGTAAGGGGTATAAATGTTTCTGTGGTGCTTTGCTGAATCCAGTGGAGAAGTCTACACATATACGTAATTTACCATTAGATTTTTTACAATGAATAATGGTGTTGCCCATGCAGAAAAATTTGCAGTAGAAATAGTACCAGAGCTCTGCAGTCTGTCAAGTTCTGTTTCCAAGTCATCAGTAATCGAATAACGTACCGGCCTCCTTGGAAGGAACACAGGTTTCGCTTCCTGCTGGACATACATACCGGCCTTTACTTTTACACATAGTCCCAATTTGTCCTCAAATATATCTAAAAACTTATCATGCAATTCTTTTACACAAAACCTGCTAAACTGACTTTACAGCGTTTGAGGTACTGGTGAATTAATCATATTGCAGACAGTGCTCAACGACAGATCCCATAAACCATATCCATCTATCCAGTCAATACCTAATATTTCAGTATGACAAATCCCAGATATATAACATTTGCCAGTGTTATTCTTATCACCCGATGTGAGAGGTAGCTGAATTTTTCCAATAGTAATATTAGTTCCAGTGGCACTTTTAGCGTTATAATATATAGTTTGATATTGAGGTCGATCAAGTTTTATCGAAGTCTTTCTAGAAATTAATGTTATGTGTTACACCCGGTATCAACTTGCAGCTTAACCGGTTTACCATTAAAATTACAGTTACTTACTTCCTCTTAGATGAGAATTGAACACTTTTTGTGGCTAGAATAGCATTCCATTTATGTGATATCTCTTGTAACATCCGCGTCTTATTTCCCCTACCGAACTCATGCTGACGGTAGACAAACTTTGGCATGGCCATATCCACCACATCGGAAACAGACGTTTTTAAAATGCCACTCACGGCATCGCCAATAAGACGTTTGGGGTTTCATTCATTTTGGGATTCACTGGGAGTACAAACCTTTATTTCCATTAAAAGATATCCACAAGGCATTAACTTCCACGTGTTCATTGTTTCTTTCTACTAGATTAGTGTCATGCTTCAAATTAACCATTCTTTGACATTCTTCAGATATTGATTGCAGACTGATATTAGGATCTTGTTCAATTCTCGCTAAAGTCCGTGTTCTGACATCTGCATCTACTGCAGATTGTAACCCACAGACAAAAATAAGGCACTTAAACTGATCTGAGGGAATTTCCTGTAACTGGAGCCACTCACATTTCTGGTTCACGATGCTTGCAAATGTCACATAATCGTTCTGTGGTTTTCTTACAAGCTGGAAACACTAGTATCTAGTGTGAATAGTTGATGATCACTCCCCAAATATGCGTGTCAGGCATTCTGAATTTTATGTCGGCTGTCTTCTTTGGGAGAATAAAATTATGAGACTTTTCATGTTCAGAAACGTCTAGCTTCCGTTGTAATAATCTCAGTTTCGAAACATCGTCCCACTATTTATAATTATTAACAAACAAATCCTCATAGTGCTTAAACCACGCCTTAAAAGTAATCTCACTTTCTCGATCAAATTTGAATTCATTTTTTGAATTCGCAATAGAATCCGAAGTCATAGAAGGATTAAATATCTGACTTCTTAGGAATGCTGTCATATTTTTGACCAATAATACGATAACAGCATTTTCCTGTTGCAATAACGATTTCAGATCATACATTTTCCTGCTAAAAAATCCACTTTAATTGAATATTTGGAAGTACATCCGTTTTAATCACCGTCGCCGCTGTCATAACAGTTGGATTTCTCGTCTATACAAATAGGAAGTCAGTTTGCCTTAAACGAATATCTACACTAGATTCACTCCCAGTGTCTATTCTATAGGATATCAACACAACTCAGATCAAGAACACGTGGTTAGCCTGACTAGAACGTAAATATACTTCCACATCAAAGACCGATAACAATGCGTCAGCAACCCAATAATAATAAGGGTAAGAGAATATATAACTCATCTAGTACCTGTCAGACTATCTATTAGTCTGACTAAGCTAATAACCAATCATTATAATTCTCGCCCATACAGCAGAGATCTTGGATCTAACAGTAGTTAGAATAATGAAGGTGACGTGGATATAATATACTGATGAGTCCAAAACACAAAGATAAAATATCCTACTTAAAAATAAATTAATTTCTTTAAACGACACAACAGCGAAAATGACTTTTGCACTACGCAGTTCTTCAAACTGGAAGCAAAACTGTACACCGCTCTTAATGAACACGGTGAAGCTAAACCTACATTTTTCTTGTGAATACAAGCTGTCTATAGTGAATGAATTTGTGAGAAATTGTAAATGAAACACATTACTAGAAGAGATCGATTGTTCATGAACTCGAGTACTCAGATTAAATAATCATGTGTAAGAAGGTAAAATGTATATAGATCAGTGATTTGTTTGCCTACTTATTTCGTTTCGTCAATAATAAGTCCTAAGTTATTATTCAGACTTCTTCAATTGCGCAGTTGGGCAGGCCTATTCAAAGTTTTATATTTGTATGGAGCTTCTGTATCAATTACTTATAGTCATGATTGAACAAAATTTTATCGATAGTTGGTTTTTAGTAACTTTTATTGATGTTAACAAACGCTTCCAATTGAAATATATGAATATGGAGATGGTGACGTCAAGATATAAACAACACTTTTATGATACTTCAGTCTCCTCAGATGAGTTATACACTCAAATATAGGCATTTATTATGATGTAACTTCTATTAGATTTGTATAATTTATTCATTGTTAATCTATTATGTATGAGTAGCACATCACACCAAAGATACATTAACTTACTTTAAATAAATAATATGGTTAAAAGCCATTGTATACCTTTTAACAGATGTTGCCAAAATTCAAACTTAATTGATAACTATCTAAGAGTGTAATGTAAACGAAAAATAAGTAAATAAATGAATAGTTCGGTTGTAACTCACTTTGCCAAGAGACTGGACACCTTTAATAACCGCTAGTCCACACAAAATCCAACAACATAAAAGGCATAAGGACAATTCCCAACCTGGTGCACCGAACTCTTCGAAACCAGGAGATAATTTAAGAACTTGATTACTAAATAATATAAAAAACTTAGCAGTTCAATAATGATTTAATGTAAATGATTTAAAAAAGAAATTCCTGATAACTATAAAGTACATATAAATATCATTTTATTCCCAGATTATTTTTATTTTTGTGATTGCTTGGTGAGTAGTAAGTATTTTACTATTACAGAACAAAAATTAATCAGAATTTGTGTCATGCGGATCAAAGAGGATATTACGAGTGTATTTTTATATTTTGGAGTTCAACATTAAGGGCCTGTTCTAGCTATAAAAGAAAAAAAAACATTAAACTACTATTTCATTCTCGTACAGAACCACACCGCTATGCACATCCTCCATACGTTTAGCAAACAAACTAAGAACCTCAATCCCTTGTAATACAGATATGACCGTCAGATTACTGGAAGGGAACTGCTCAGTAGTTTAACACTAGATAGAAACAAACATTCAGTTTATTTTAGTTTTCATCATTGTTAACTAAAGACAGTTACTGATGTCAAACAATTATCAGAATAATCACATATACAAGCCAAATATGTCAATTTGCAGGATAAAGCGTAAGCACGTGAACTAAACACTTCTGAAGTCGACTGAGCAATAACTCTTAACAGGAAACTGTTGCACACGCATCTGAACAAATCACGAGATAACATTTCTCCATGATTAAACAACATAGCATTGATGAACTGGAATAGCATACTCTTTGATACATTGATAATAAATGCAGAACGAAATTACTGTGATGATGAGTCATATTCTGTTTAGGCAAACAAACAACAAGATCCAGAAAAAGATGCAGAAGCAATCAAGTGAGTATATATTGACGTTAACCATATGGTGCTAAGCAAAGGTGACAAATCGACTGATAAAGTTGAGTCTTCACTAATTAAGATAGTCAAGAGATGTTACGTATTCCTAGACGCCAGCTTGTTTGAGAGTCAATTTTCGTGGTAATAAAAGGTTGGAATTAAGCTAGATGATGCTTAACCAAAACATGGCATCAGTTCATAAAGTCACTGACTGTTCATTTTAGTCACGTTGACAGATACAAGCTAACCTGATTGAAATCATTGTGGTAACCGTGATCAGTGATAAGAGACTGTGTAAACTGCTATCAATGGTGGAGGTGTATTCACCCTTCATCCTTCTTTCAACCTTGAATTTCTTCTTAAAATCCTTTACATTCTGTATTTTTGAAACTTTCTCAATGTTTATTCTTTTTCATCGTCACTGATACTATTGTATTCCAATCTCTTTTGCTGTGTCTTGATAATTTTATCTCGTTGTGCCAGGGTTTACTCTGATCATACCTGATTGATTCATTAATCCCAGATCATAATAACAACTCCGAGTTATAATTCGCATTACATTGAAGACAAATTTTTCTAAAAAAAATGATGAGTGTTCAGTAATCAGGTCTAACTCCAATCAGTCCTCTATACTGCCCGAACACCCTCCATTATCGTCGATGAATATTTTCGTAGCACCTGAAGTGGTTGAGTTACATTGATCATGGCTTCTTACTAGAACCCTGAGAATATCCTCTTAAAGCTAATCACCAATAATTAAATGAAAATTATCTGTATAGGGTTGTCGGAATAGCTCAATTTTATTGCTATCACAAACAGACTTATCTTACACAACCATTCAAAACGTGAAGTAACTTGATGTTCATTTAGTATACACTGCCGATTGTTAGGAAGGTACTCACCAAAGAAAACAGACAGTCACACAATATAGAGAACTGACTGAATTTAGACCAGTAAGCCATTAAAAACCGGCTCAGTGGTCTAGATTTTGTTCTTTCGCGCATGAGACCGAAGATCCTGAATTTGATTTTCGGTTCCAGGAACGCGAATACACATTATTGGGGGGGTACCATACTAGAACGATAAAGATACTCAGTGCTTTCAGAGTTTCGGTGCCTATCCAACTTAGATCGGTTCATGATATCCATGAAATTGAACAATCTCTCCAACCCTATACTGATATTATAAAGCAAATAATTTATAGTAGATGGAAATAACAGTCTATTAATAATAATATATAAATTGTCATAGTTACACTAATATATTGGTGAATTGTTGATCCGAAGATAAATTTAGCTAAGCGATATCGAAATCATTGTCATAATTGATAGATGTTCCAAATTTACCCAAATACCATAAATAATAGTCCGTTAAAAAAAGAATATAGAAAATTTCCCCAGTTTCACATTTTTAAAATTCAGATTACTACACATCTTAAATAAATCAATGAAATAATGAGTCTATTTTAAAGCGTAATACGCATAATCACTTTTATAATGTTCTTTTTGAATGTTTAATTAGAAGCTGTATACACACCTGGTGTATATTTTATTAAACAATAAAAACAAATTTGCATGGATCCACTTTCGATACATTTTCTTTAGACATAAAGAGGGGAAACAGCTGATAGGTACATCAAAAACGGTCGTAAATATAAAACGGTACTTGCAAAGAGAATAAGTTTGACAAGAAATTTAAATGACAAATCAGAAATGTTCAATAATAATAATTTATAGGATATACAGAGGAAGGTAATCAATAAATAAATTGAAATCCCAACCACCGGTTTCAAACCACAACAATTAGAGCTTTAAAACTATTCCTTTGTATTGATTGTTTACATCATCCACATAATGTTGAAAACTGCAATTAATCAGTCTCTTATTGGTATATGTGGATCCTGTATGAATTCCTTTGAGGTACAAGTATTATAAGCAAAGAGGGACGGTGGCTAGCAGTGGAATCTATGACGCGCGTTTTGTCTCACTTGAGTCTCCTCAGATAGTTTATGTTCACTTTGGTACTCGGATCCAGTACCGCTCGCTTCAAACATCAACTCGCTATTCACTTAGCTATTGAGTTGAGATAGCTACTGACGTGTGTAATGTGGGAATTATAGTCTATCGCCACCATTTATTTGCGTTTAAAATCCTTGATGCAATGGAATATTGAGGCCATTTGCACCACTTGCACATGTTGAAGTATAGAATGGTAGTTTTTAGTCATAAACATCATGAGAAGATTCAAACAACTAATACTAATGAACAAGAATTCATCCCACTGTATTTGGACTTAATCACTAAGTGGAAAACGCGATGGCGCTGGGGGCGAACGTTATCGGGTTAGAATCCAGAAATGATTATTAACTCTGATTTCCGGGTATATCCAACTGATGAGTCCCAAATGAGGAGAAATACCCGTCCTGGATTGCGCTGTTAGCCACATTACATCTGTCCCGTAACAGTGATGGATGACCAAAAATATCTAATGGATCTATAACATTATATTACTACAAAATGTTTTACTTAACGAGCAGAAAGACAATTATAAGTACATGAATATAAATTTAAATAAATGTAAAGAAAAACCTAAATTCAGAAGCACTTACATAATATGGTTATTTTCAATAAATGAGAACAGTAACTTACAGATGTTATCGGTAACTTTGAACCGGTATTCGTAAGTACTTACAAACTGATATGCCATTGGACGATGTTAATGATAATGATAATAATGTTAACAAATAATTTACTCATTGTTCATTTGATTTCATTTAGGTTCGCTGAATAGCTAATGTTTCTCGATCATTTATGTTTCAACATATAGCAAATTATTTACTTTATCAATTATGAAAATGTTAGTGAATTTTTCATGTTATTCAACTTATTCAGGAGATCGATTGACCCACTCTCATGATTTCGCTTTATGGTCTACATTTAATAGTGGTATATATATATATTATTGATTACAATATGGAGTACAGTTACCCGTTGGATGACCTTTAAAATTAATCATTCAATTGAGGCATAAAAAACTCATATTAGTCTAAACCAATATGATGTGGTATTTAGTTTTGTTTTCATGATAACTTCAATAGAATAAAATATGCACAAAGCATTTGGCATAATGAATAAAACATTAGCATATTATCTAGTTTCAATAATTTATATTATATGAAAATTATCTACAATTGTAACGATGTTTGTTTTGTTCACATCCGAGATAATGAGAAAGTAGTAGAAAGAAAATAGTCAAGGATTGAGTAGAATGGAACAAAGTAAAGTACAGTAGAGTAGAGTAGAGTGGAGTAGAGTAAAGAGTAGAGAAGGTTGTAAACAATTGTCATATTGGATAAAACAACCATAATCATTTCTCCATATTTATAAATCAATTAATTAACAATAAAATCATAATTTATAAAATTTCACTTACAAATAATAATCTTCTGATGGTGTTTTAGGATATGTGATGTTACTGTAATTCACTGAAATAAAAACAGAATATTTACATATTTATGTTAGAAGTGTAATTCAGTAAAAATTCACAGAAATTCACATTATGTGTATATATGCATAATTTAATAAACTGATGTATAAATAGATCAACTGTACTTGACATGATATTGAAATAAATTCTCACTTCCATAAAAATTAAACATGTGAACAATATTAGATTTATCAAAACTTGGATGAGAAATTTCATCAGTTTTCTTTTTTAAAAAAAAAAACAAACAAGAAATATATGAAGGAACTACAAAGCAACGACTTATAGTTTTGTCAAAGTTTGTAAATCAATAGAGTAAATATCAGGATTATGAATAATCTCCATACCTGGTGATTTACATAAGTAAAGAAGCATCACCTGAACGGTGAAGATTTGTGATTTCTACATAATTAGTGTACATATCTGGAATTGGACCGATTTTCATCTGCTACTTTTTAATGTATTTTGATAAAATATAGAAGTAAATGGGCAATTTAATAGTAAAGTTTAGAGTAGAGGAAAATTAACGTACATAATTATAGTTGCAATGCAGTAGATACTTATTAAAAAATAACTAATTGTGTTAGTTGGTTGTAGTTAATCGACAAAATACTACAGACCTGGATCATATTGCGATTTTGTTAGCAGAGTTTGATCAACACAAAAGAACTGAATCAACATGACACTAGTCATTTGTTAGTGATCAATCAATTTTACATGGACCATTGTCCATATTTGAAATCAAATTCAAAACAAATACTTATCAATTGCAGTTTGAAGAGATCAAATAAAATGTGTTAGCTTGAAGCCGTTACCCTGTTATATTTGAGCTTATCAAGTATCAAACAAGTCTATTCATTACGATGGTTAGAATAAAAAAGGATTATGATTTAAAATGTTTTAAATGATCGTCCCATGTTACTATTTACTATAATGTGCAACTCAGCTGAGATCTTATAAATTTAGGATAAAATTAAAAGCGATTAGGTTGATACATAACAATAGCTAGCAAATAAAACAATTATCAATATGGGGTTGTGGGAGATTACTAGGTTTTTGATTGAGATAATGAATCGATTGATCTTATACCACCATTGAAAATCTGGAAGCACTGGACGGTCGTTTCGTGCTATCATGGGACTCTGCAGCAGTGGGCATCCACAATTCCGTTCGCGAGATTTAGACCCAGGACTTCTGATCTCGCGCGCGAACGCTTAGCCTCTAGACCACTGAGCAGGCATCTAATGGTGCTAGTATCTAACCTCAACTAATCCACGAAATTGAGCGACCATCTTCCATTGTACTGAGGTAGATACCTGTCTCTACCTGACATGGATGAGCCTCACAACGGAAGGTGGTCGCGCAATTTCGTGGATTGTTTGAGGTTGTACATTAACGCCGTTGCATGCCGGCTCAGTGGTTTAGAGGGTAAACGTTTGCTCTGTCAATTAATCGATCACGTTAAAAAGGAACAGGGATAAAATGTCGAACAGGAGTTGCAGTTAGGACATATATACTTCAAACATTCATGTGAGCTGGTAAACAAATAATTTAATATAGAAACTTAATAAATGAAGATTGGTACGGCTACATAAATGTACACATTGAAGATTAGTTAACTTATTACGGTGAACAATGTGTAAATTAAAAATAATCACTTCTTAACGTGATCCTTAGATTAATCTACACAATAAATATCACTTACTTCTGTTTGAATCGATACAATCAGGTGTACTCCAGGGAGGATTACATTCTGTCCAAGGTAATGTATGCGTAAAACTAACACCAAAATAATATAAACAATGTGCAACGATAACTTGATAGTAGATATTTAATAACCATGATAAAAATACCATAGCGTAACCAATACCTGGAAAATGTAAAAAGCAAAATTCACAATGTAATCAGTAGAGCTTCTTTGTAATGTATAGATGACAAAATGTAATATTTTATGAGAGGCGCTATGTGATAACAGGGAATAAGTGATTTACTCTAATAAATTATATTTGTCACAGTATGTATTTCACAATGTTGATATTAAAAAAAACTACAAAAGATCAGCTTCCGTTGGCATAAATGTATTCATATAGAATCGACTTGATATTAGAGTTTTCAATAAAGTTGGATCATAGACGTAGGTTTCATCTTATTTTGGATTCGTCAAGTGGATGCTCTAAGAATAGAAAATTAATGCTTTTTTTACTTCAACTATAAACGAGCTATCTACTTTGCCATATGTTTTCCGTTAATATATGTATTTCATTCATTAACTTACAAATAAAGATTTAAATCAATGGGAAATATTCTTTTCATTTGACTTAGAAAAATTATTAAAAATTTATGTATGTAAGCAAAAATCATCCATTTTAATTTCAATAAAGAACTAGATTGTACGAAAAGAATGAATTCTGACAAAATATATGCACATTTTTTGTTAGCTTTATAATCAGTTTGTTTAAATCTAAAACACCAGGGAGCTAGTGTTCAACATGTCAATGTTTGTATATGTTGTTTTTGTAAATGACAATGTTTACCACAATTATAGAGATATAAAATATAATTGTGAAACTCTGTTTTCTTTTTATAATTTTTTCTACCAAGAAATATCTTTTATTCGGTATATCGTTGAATAACTTTGCATTATATTTTGGGTTTATAGGATTGATAATTTGACATATCTACTATGTGAATAATTTCTTTTCAAAATATTGAAAATAGATATTTATTTATATGAACATATATTGTTCAGAAAAAACAAACAAACAAAAATGGGAAATTCTCTTTTCAAAAACCAGTTTTCTGTTTTCAAACTACAAAAGACACGTTGAATACCTATTCCAATGATTCAATCATAGACATAGTTTATGGACTCGAAGAATTTAATGAGTATTATATATATGTATATATAAATTTTAGATATTTTCTAAGGAATACAATCATTTATGCTCTGACAAAACAATGGATGAAATTGTTTTTTTTTTCTCTATTTCAAATGGTACATTTTCAAAACGAATTTAACAAATTATGTAGTCGATGAATATTAGGAAAGTTGAAGATTTTAGAAAAGTATGATAATAATAAACGGAACATTCTTTTTGTCATCAAACTATGAACGGGAAAACGTTTGACAGAATAACTGTGATAATCAATTCAGGAGATGACAAAATTAATTTACTGCAAAAAATAGGTTGTGACAAACATTTGAAAAATTGTATTTTATGTAATAAATACTGTAAGACTCCTTCACGTAATCCATTTATTATAAGTGAAATTGTTCATAGTCAGACTACAGATTATATAGCGAAATATTTATTACCTGATTACATGATTATAATCAAAAGTTCTTACATAGTTGTTAAAATAAAGTTCTCAAATGTTTCATGTTTAGATATCTTATAACTTTGAATAAGAAAAACAAGACAATTCATTCCGATAAGACTATTCCCGTCCCCGCATCTCAAGCTTGCTGAATTGTGTTTGTTTATTGTTTATTAACTCAATGAGTCCCTCTAGTTATTTTATTCGGGATTTTTAAAATACTGACATGGGATCTGCACTGAAGACAGTGTAAATGAAGTCAATAACCTACTGAGCTATGGTTAACATACTGAATAATTCAAAAATTTCATATACTAAAGTACATTTTGTTTCTCCCAGACAATATAATAAAATAAACATTACCTGTAAATACTAACAAACATACATCCATACATACCTTTGAATAATGGACTGATATTCCAAACCGAAATTGGACCTAAACTAGCGAATTGACCGAAAGCGAATTCCAAAAAAAATAATGGTAATCCAAGTAATGCTAACATTAATGTATATGGAATTAAAAATGCACCTAAAAATTATATTTAATGAATAAAACACAATGAAATACTTTTTTCATATCACACATTAGTGTTTAAATATAATTAAACATGATAAAAATTGTACAAAAGTGTTACGGTAAGTACATTCAATTTTCATGATACACATTGCGAATTAGAAAACAAAAATTAAAGTACAGTAAAATTTCATTAATTTTATGTAATTTAAATAGTCGAAATAATGAGTCAATTGAAGCTAGACCACCATGGAAAACCTGGAAGCACTGGACGACAATTTCAGGATCGTGGATGCGCACTGCTGAGGAATCCCACAATAGGACGAAACGATCATCCAGTGCTTCCAGATTTTCCATGGTAGTCTAGCTTCAATTGACTCATGGTTTCAACTACTGAAATTTCTAAAATTTCCACAAAACCCCTTCTGATTATGTAATTTAGTTAATATAATACATTATTTAATATGTAATAAGTAGTATATCAGAAAAACAAATCTAAAATGTAATAAAATCAGCTTCACTTAAGGCATCAATTTGCTATATGCAGTAAAAAAAATCACATAAAATTTATCTCAATTTGTATTGAAATTCTACCGCATTTTAAGATTTTGTGAAAGACAAGACGAATATAAGGACGTTATAAAGTTTGGAAATGATTATCTGGGAGATTAATATTTTTAACTCTAAAGTATATTCTCTTATTTTAAACGTTATATTTGACCTATTAATTGTCATATCTTTCTCATTGCTCAAATTATTGCATTGATACATGGGATTTCTTGTTCATAGTGAGTTGTAGTCCTGTTGATTTGTATAATTAATCATGTGAGTAATTTGAGAATAACATTGAAGTGCAACAAGTTTCGTAAACGGAATCCGTTCTCAAATTAAAAAGCGATTGACTGCAGCCTTAAACTACTCAAGTGTATTGTGGATACTTCTTTGGTATATTGGGTGTTATTAGTGGTTACGTTGTCTCAAACAAGCAAACGCTTCTGAACATACTTCAGTGGGTTGACAACTTAACCACTGGATAGAGAGGACGTCCTTTTCAAACTCATTCATACGATCGCTAAACCTTATATCTCTGTTTAAATACCGAATGAAATGAAAATCTTTTCATTTGCGTTTATTCGCTATTTCTTTAACATAAACACAGAACATGAATTGCAATCTCTACAACATTACAATATGGGAAAAAAAGGCGGTTGTTCACGAAAACGTTTCCTTTATTTTCAGAAGTGTTCAAAAATGCGTTTAGCTTCCCAAGATCAATACTATTGGCAAAAATAGTATTTAAAAAAATTAGCATACAAAAATTAAAATAGAAAAATGACAAACAATTGGTTGCCTAACATAAGGCTGTTATTGAACTAACTTATCAAGTTTGATAGATAAATGGTATTTTGATCATTCGTAAATTATTTTGATGAAAATCCAAACTTGTTTGTGATTCTGACACAAACATTCTCATTATTACATTCTACTATCATAAACATACAAATAAAATAAAAAACCCACTAAATACTATCATTTGCAAGCTCATGAATGATCAAATTTGAAGGTACAATCTTTTTGAAAAATACCATATTACTAAACCAATGAGACAAATACATAACCTTTAAGGTGATGCAGACGTCTACAAAACAATTGATTGATTCGGTATTAAAAAATATGTGTAAAGCTAGTCGTGTGCCAGAATTCATCTTAAAAACATAACGTTTTTAGGGATTTGAAAAAGAAATCAGCCAGAATTTTTCTTGTTTTTCATATATCTGCCTTTTATGACATACATAACGTTAGGTGAATAAAAATCATATTAAATATTTCATGCTTATTTTATTTCCATCAAAGATAAATTTTTCTAGATTATATTTAACTGACAAATCAGTGTAACTATTTTAGAGAAGATCCACATCGTTTTGATACATATTTTGATTAAACGTCTATTTGAGATCTCTAAATAATGATGAATGACATAGATTTTACCAAATTTTATCTGATGCTTTTCTGTATTTGTCAAGGATATACGATGTTTTTCTATCCAGTGTGATGATTATTCAGTTTAACATTCTTTCATATTTAATTAATGTATTCTTAATAGTTCAGTGCAAAAGTCCATATCTTTTTAAATTTCCGTTATATTTTGACTGACATGTCAGGTACATTTTGATAGAAATTAATGTAATTGGTTAAGAAATTACTGTTGCTCTTTTTGGAAAGAGAACGAAATATTAATCTGCTGTCAACATTAGGTTCATGCTTGCATTGTCATGTAAATCTGCAAAGTAAATTCACTTACCCCATAGTGTGCAATACTTAGCCAGGCTGAACAAAGTTTTCAACTTCAGGACGCCATTATCGGGTGAGCCACAACCAGGTAGTTTGTACCTACCTACCTACATGGCTAATTTAAAATATCAATGACATAATCGACAAATGCAAAGTTTTGTTTTTGCCAACACTAAGCTTTCTTCTAACGTACTTCTGCTACTACACCAGACTTAATTGCTCGTCGAGGTAGGCGGTGGTTAGGTATAATTAAAACATGTTTCAAATACCTCAGTCGGAGAAGATTTCCTACCTTGTGAATCGCTTTGAGATATTTAATTAGAACCCGATGTCTAGTTTTAGTATTACTCAGTTGGTTGTACAAAATATATGAGTAATGCTTTGAAGATACTCATGACGGAATATTAGTAACCTAAAAATGTCATCCATTATTAATCGCGATTTTAAAATCCATTAGGGAGGATATGGCGAATTGCTGAGAAGTAAACTCGTCTTTTAGTTGACAAACAGAGATCCTCCCTATGCCATAAGAGATTGAAGTTGAAAGGAGCCAACTGAGCTTCGTGAACTCACGTCAATATTTGTCTGCCTGTTATTGACTAAATAATGATTATAAATAAATTCTGATAATTACAAGCACATAATGTCAAAGATCGGAACATAAATAAAACATGAAAAAAGCTAATGAACTGGGCCTTTTATATCACAGTAAGATATCAATTAAATTATTTTCCTTTTAGAATCAATGATCAGAGTGAAAATTTCTAAACTGTTGTCACTTTATGGTCCGACACTTGTAAATACTTGCAGCTTAACAATTTAAAATAGAAAAAATCTATTACTTGTTAACAACAGTAAAACTTGTTATTCTCATCCTCACTATATTTTCTTGTTTCTTTTTTAACTGTTAAACTAATTATTGTCAGTTTTCCTATTTCGAGAAACTTGTGTTCTGACTTTGTCAGAGACTTAATTCTGACATAAAAATGTTGTAGGTATGATCATCTACTGTCAGGTGATTCCAAGATTATGGATTTGGCAAGAACTCAAATTTCTTCCAACAACAATATTATATATACCTTATCACAAATCATGAACCACACATCGAAACAATCTAATAACATTTAGAATTTTAACTGGTACAATATACAGTCATAAATCAAAATGAACTGTTTTGAGTTAACCAAAGTTAAACATGTTCATAATTTGTAAAAAAAAACAACATATTTCGTTCAAAAGTTCACTAAAAAAATCGATGTATTAAATATCTGAAATAATACCTTTAATGTGTACTCTAGTGGAACTATTTTATATACAATGATTATACTGGAACTATAATTAAGGACTTTAGATGGTATCTAACCCTAAAAACTTAGTATTGTTTCAACAGAACTTCTGGTAGAGCCGTTGCTTAGTTTTTATTTATTCCAGTGTTTGCCGTGAGACGATTATCATGAAATTTATATGACACTGTCAGCTGTTAACAGAGCAGTGCTGCTTGGTAGTATGTTGTACTAGAATTTCCAGACAGAAAATAATACCAGATTACTGTTTTAATAATACTTCTTTGGACTAATACACTGAACTAACACCATTCTAAGTAAGAAGCAGTCGAATCATGAAAATCTTATTACTAGAAAAGAGAACTTTACTGTTCTTAACGGAAGCCATAACAATGATGTAAACCAATATTGGAATATATATTCATAACGATATATATCAATAACCGGGAAAATGTTTATCTTTTCAATTCTAACTACTTTAGCAACAGTCTGAATGAGTCAATTCAATGAATGTCTTGTTGGAAAAAACATAAACTTGTTATTTAAAAAAAGGAATTAACTGTTCCCTTCAGAATGGAGTATTATATAATTCCTTTCAAATGCACTATTCATTAACGTACACCGAAATAGTCTGGAATATTTTTCGAAACTAGTTTTCAGTTGTTATCCTTTTATGGTGAAATGTGATTTGAAATGAGAAATTATCATAGAGTATTGTTTTTAATATATTTCGTCTATATAACATTGTAAGTCATATATAAATAAATGGTTAGACTGTTTTTAAACATTCAACCAATGTGTGCGTATATTTACATCTCCTATTTTCTACGATTCTTTCATCAATGTTAAAGAAAGTATGAAGTTGAAAAACTCAAAAATATTCAAAAACAATCTTTTGTTCGAAGTAGCATATAACTATCAGTGGGAAATGGCGAGTACCAGAGTAGCGTTGTTATACTCAGCAGTAAAAAATATCAAGTATACAGACGATTTGATAACACAGAATGAATCCGTCAAATAAATAATATTGAAACTCAAGATCTGGGAGAAGATAAAGAGTGAATGCAACTGGAATCGATTATGGGCCATGATATAAATCAAACAATATTTGAAGCTTCAATCAGCTAAACTTAGTTCACATATGTACAGTATTCATCTATCTCTTAACAAAAACCTATAATTCCATATCAGTTTAGTGTGTGACTAAAAAATATTTTAGGTTTATCGACTATTTTATCTTTGATATTGTTCCGTTAAAACTTACACTAATAAATAATCGTATTAAATACCATTTTACTTCAATCTGTCAGTGATCATTATTTACGTAGGATATTCACGAGTTATATTTCGTCTTTTTTGCAGAAAGAAAAATCCTTTCATAGGAAAATTAGTAAAACTGGTTGCACTAATGTATTTGTAAAAAGTCTATTACGCATTCCAAATGATTTTGTCAAAATGAGAATGCTGCATTTGGTATGCATTTATTAAATTTCACTGTTTAATAAGGATTTTCATTCAAGTTTAAATTACCACATACAGCAATAGCTGAATGTGGGTTTTGTTTACAAATCTTGTCTCACATGATATAAAAATGAGATATTTTTATGTCAAACAGAGATATGGAAACGTCTTTTTATGATGACGCCAATCACTGATAAGTAAATTCCCCTGTTTTTTAGTAGTAGTAATGAATGATATACTAGACATTTCAGTGTTACAATATATCCTTCTTTGATGTTTATAGTATTCATGATATATAAGGAAACAAAAGTTCTTTAAATCATGAATTATGTATAGATCCAATGAATTATTCGTTTATCAAATGGTCACTATGAACATTTATGACAATGGCCGACCAAACTGAAATAACAATGCACATACAAATGAGCTGGTACGCACGGAATCTACTTACAATCTAAGCCCAGAAAGGACTCAAACGTAGAAAGGTTTACAGTTGAACGTTAACTCAATGATCTTAAAGTTAGAATTATTGTTCCTGTGTTCCCTCAACAGTGAGATCTTGCATACGCATTGCTAAGTTTTGAATGAACCCCAGGTGACGAAACAGTTGTTCAATGCCTTCTAGTCTACAATGGTTTCCTAATCAAGGTAAATGCCTGAGGTAGAACATCGAACTCCGCCATCGTTAGGACAGATGAATGCATTGCCATTCCTGTGTTCGTACTCACTTCAAGGAATGAACTCAGTTCCAACCTCAACGTCCTAACACGTTAGCTACTGAGTCCAGATGGCTACTAACTTGTATAACGCGCGCGAATTTGTTTCATTTGTAATTGTCTGAATCTCCCCATTGATGATGTTAAGAACTGCAGTTAATCAAGTATCAATCGCCCAATAAATGATATATTGAGCATTCGAAGCAAAAGGTACTGGGCTCAAATTTTAATATAAGGATGAAAACCCGTTAACAAAACAATCTAGCTGAACTTATATTTTTGTTCTCAGCCACATTTGTTTCATGCAACATTCAGATACATATAACTTCATAGGATGTTATACTTTATAAAAAAAGAAAGGAAATAACTGAATGCACCTACTCAACACAATAATTTTAACTGTGAAACAGTTTGCGCTAATATAAACAAGTAAAATCCGTTTACGCCGATACACGTTTGAGATCATTCAAAAGTGATTATACTCGTAAATAAATGGAGTATAAAAATCCAAAACATATTTATTACTCACTTTTTGCATGATACTCCCAAAATTTGCATGCATACTTATATGTAAATAGTAAACTCAAAAGGAAACACAACCATAGAAACCAATATTTTTAAAATTAAAACCGATCATCTGAACTATGTGACAAAAGGTCTTAGTGTTGAACGGTTAAATTAATTGATATTTTGTTAGTTTAAACCACAGTTATATAAGAAATAGAGGATTGCCGCACAATATAGAGAATTGATTGAAAATAGACTTGGACGTTTAGCTGCGAGTATGAACGTTTCTGGTTCAACTGAGGAGTCTCATAATTAGACAAAGTAGCTGTCCAATGACACCAGGTTTTATATAGTTATTTGGAATCTTAATATCACCGAACAACCTTCATAAAGCCCATTATTGATCATTTTGGTTTAAATGAGTGTAGTCCTATTCCATATGGGTGATTTCTACATATAATTGGAGAGAATATGGTAAATTGATGTGATGATACACATACATTTTATTGGTAAGGTTGATGTATATCTAAACATTTGTTCGAAACAGCAAACTGACGCAAATGAGCGAAACACGTATAGGAATTTACAGACATCTTTTAAAAGCAATTTGGTTCTGTAATATAAATTTCACAATAGATTATCAAGAAACAATAATATGATATATTTTACGGAGCAGACAAGGTTAATTGAGCATAATAGATAATTCAATTATTTATACGAGTAGAATCTTACTGACCTCCACCATTTTTAAAACACAAGTATGGAAAACGCCAAACATTCCCCAAACCGACAGCATAACCAATACATGTCATCATGAATTCCAATTTCCCATTCCAGCCACCTCGCTCAGTTGAATTCTGGCGTACTAGGATTACTTCACCGCTATTTCCTGTCCCATCTTGAAGCGGTACAGAAGACTGAAAAAATGAAAATTAGTTGAAAATAACTGATGATGAAACGATATTTATGTTGAAGACTGGGTTGGTCGTATATTTCGAGTATACTGTATGGGTTTCAATAATGTCAGAAACACCCAAATATTTAAGTCATTTTGTACTGGTTGTTTGAATCATTCCGTTGACTCTTAAGACTACAATCGCTCCAGCTGACAAGCCCTAGATAGGAAGAAACGTGCTAGCCACCACCTATCTCTGCTTATAATAATTCAAATATTTGCTTGGTTAAAACAGTTAAAAGAGCTAAGAATTCCTTTCATACAGTTTATATATTGCGCAAAATAAATGCTATTTCTGTTTACGCTCATAGAAAGCGCACGATTCCTTGTCTCGAAAGCTATGATTTCGCTCAAACTGATGTGACTTTACGTCTTATTAACACGGTAGCTTGACTTACTGTATTTTTGTTCGGATTTCCATCATGCGAATTGCCCATGCCATGGTCGTCTGATAAAAAACATCCATCAACATCCTGTGCTTTCCTGTCGGTCATTCGACAGATTTAGAGTGAACACAATTACTATAATCCAAACGGCTAAAACGACAAGTCCACAGTGACGCAGCGCAGCAGCCTTTAAACAGTGGCAAAAATCGAAATAATTATTTTAGCCTGGCATTGTCAAGGTCAATGTTTGAATCGCCATGTCCACCTACGCAAATGGAATCAGTTTATTGGTGTTTTATTTCAATATATTGAAATGTCCAATCATTATCAGGGTTTATCTTCAGGAATGACCTTGAATACAATGCCCAATAATAACCTAGGTACTATTTCTTTTTAAGGTAGACAATCAGAATAAATTTAATTCTGGGAATTCAGAAAATTGTCTGGAAATATGACCAAATCTGAGTTCTTGATTTGAGCCATGAAAAGTATCCAAATATTGAAAATACCAAATCAAACTCATCATCAGTTCAATTCAGTAAAACTCAAATAATAATAAACCAATAACGTCCTTTATTACTGAAATCTTAATCACTGTATCCCATTGAAATATTTCGAATAATATGAAGCCACATATGATATGTCAAACCCATGCTTTCAATTGTAAACTATGGTTCATTTTATAATTGAATGTGAAAGGTTCTTGTAATATATAATCGTATTTAAATTACCTGAACGATAAGCTAGTAAAAGCGATAGTCGGTTGGCAAAACAATTAATATCTTGAATATTTCATGTCGTCTAAACTGAATCATTCTAATCAGAAAATCTCAAAAGCACATTTAGATACTGAGTATAGAAACAGGTAGGTTAGATAGAATATTCGCATGTATTTACACTTTTAGTAGATTCAATGTTATTATTTCATACAATGAAGTCCAACTACTAATAATTAGTTTCTGTCGACAAAAATTCAATTAAACCGAACCTAGTTAGACAACCATGGAAAATTTAGAAGCACAGAACAGCTATTTTGTTCTAGCATAAGACTATTGAGCAGTGCGTACTCACAAACTCAGAACATTAGAATTGGCACGTGAACCAATCATCCCTAGATTGGTGAACTGGAATCCATTCGTATACATGTCTGATTTTAATCGATCTTCGAAGTCGCACCACCATCTTCCATTGTCTATCTACATATCTCACACCTAACACGATTAAACTCTGAGCATTTCCTCTCAGAGCTAGTCACCAGTCTGTACATGATAACTATCAACTTAAAGTTGTGAATATTGGTGAATTTCAATAAAATTTCGAGCGAGACCATTTAGGTCGGTTAATAATCTCGACGAGTATGTACTCCTTTATTGTATTACGTAAAAATGCTAATTAATTCATTCAACTAAGTTTACATCACAATATAAAATGAGTTTACATTTTTACGTTCAAAATATGCACTGATGATCACAATTTATTTTTAGACTATTACTGAACGCAGGTTTTATGTGTAGACGACATAATAATAAATGTTGCATAATGTCTACATTAGAACAAACAGAAATAAGAAGTTTAACAAAGTACCAGCATAAATATAAAATTCTGGCTTTCAAAGAAATATTCTATTTACATGCTTGCGAAAATTGTACATTTTCGTAAAAATATGCAGGAAAAAACACAAGGTATTAAAAAATATTTCCATCATCTAAAATAAGGTAACATGTAATTCTGTTCTACAATACATGGTCGGTTATAAATACGCGTTAGATAGAACTAAAGTATTGGGAGCAGCAGATTGGATATCTTGAAGTTTTTCTAGTAACGTTTATTTCGTCTCTTAAGCATAGCGGAAACTGCAGATTCGAACCTAAACCAAAGACTTTGTGCGTAAAACATATCTATAATTTCTCTGTCATTTCCTTGATCAGCAGAAATCTATCAGACCTGTTAATTCTTTCTACGCTCTAAACATTTCTCCTCTACCTGTTTTCGTTTCTTTTTGACTACCCACTTCTTACTACATAATCATTATTGTTAATTTTTGCAATGAATTTGTTTTTTCAAGGTTTTCACCTAATTCCAATGATGAAATATTTGCTAATATCATCATATTTTTAATTATCCTAAAAATTACTACAAGATTTGTAGTCTTATTATCAATGTATACTTTTCGTTCGTTATTACTTGGGGTACAATGTATTTAATTTTTACCATTGACTTATAGATAGACTTGAATGGTTTATTAGTTTTCATATACATATATAAATACATTACAATGTATTAAAGTTTGATGAAGATCTAATCAAAACAGTCAAAAATAATATTATCAATTTATGTGTTGTTCTGAATGACTTGACTTCAAAAAGCTCGTATTATCACTGTGAATTTTGTTGAAACTTCTAGGTTTAGGAATCACGACTTTCACTTATCTGTACACACAGTATGACAGAATGAAAATTTATTCAAACGAATCATTTTTACTTATTGTCGGTAATCAACATATTCAAATTGAATTAATTATGCTCTATCATATTGTTTATACTTGAAAATGAGGAACTCCTGAAAGTTCTATAAAACGAAGGGAAAATACTCGGAAAACTGGTGCAATGAAAATTTATAGACTTCGAAAGCATGAGATTAAATACTTTTATATTTTGACTCATTTTATGTACAGTCGATGATTAGTTAATAAACACTATATTAATGTAAAGATACGCTAGTTCACTGTAAACACAAACTTCACATAGATTAATACAAAGAATGTAAATATTACACTAGGTGAAGTTCATATTTGCCATACTGAACAAAAATTTAAATTTGATTATTGCGAATAAAGTATGAACTTGTCTGACTATCCTGATTTGTCATGTCCGTCTATTAATCTTTATAAATTCCACAATTAATCATCAATGAAATTCCAGATTTGGTACATCTAAAAAACCAGTTTTGAATTTATATAATATGTAACTACTTAGATGAGTAAAACAGAATTGATAGAACTCAAGTTTATACTGGAATGATGAGAAATATTTTTAACCTATTTCAAGAAGAATTGGTTAGTATTATGCAAAATATCATATCATGAGTAAATTGTTCGTAACATAACAATGAAGATTTCGAATGGATCTCAGAACGGATTTGCTCTTACAGTCTATTCTCGTCAATATTACTTTTCTCCTCATGGTTCCATTTTAATTCAGCCAGACATATGAATAGTTGTCTACAATTATTCGAAATACTACATAATGTACATGATGACTGTCAATTTCACTGAACAGTTAATTGTCTCATTATATTAAAAAAATTATTTACTGAATTAGTTTATTTCAGGACCTAGGTTTTACCCAACTAACTAAACAAAAAAAAGACATTTGCAGGTTTGTTCAGTTTGTTTTTCTAAAACCTCTAAAAGATTTCAACAGATTTCTAAAAATACTCACATTGTTCCTAGTTAGGGTTAGACATTTAGAGTAGAACTTATGGGTTTAGGGTTAACGTTTTAGTCACGAACTGACATCAGCCACAATATAAGATTGCTCTGTTGCTATTTGGATAGGTGAATTTTCCTCAAACATATGAGACACTAATTGATTAGTTCATACGCATAGTGTAGTTTTATCAGGTTAAGATTTGTTTCAAGATCAATTGTTTTGTGTTAGAGCGTAGGGATAGTATCAATTTGCTTGTTACATACATTCCAAAGAGAAAGAATGAAGCGTTTGATACGTCAAAATTATCAATATTACTCCATGATTGTGAACAATAAGTTCTCATTTTCTTTTACATGTTTTGAACAATGTATGCAGTATTTTTGTTATTCGTCATACTTTATATTCGAATTTTGCTAAGAAACCTAAAAGTCATGTTCTTGATTTTGATTGGCGCATCCCTTGTGATATGAACAGAGAAACAAGAAATGTAGTGACTCACTTTTATCACGAGAACACGATTGGTTTATTGAAAACAATTATTATTATAACCAATTGTACCAGTGACTGTTTTAATGTGCTTTTGTTTAACTGTGCTAAAAACATCCATTATTCTTACACTTTGATTGTGACTTCGCGCGAATTCGGTTACGTTCTGTAACCAAGCTTGTATCCTGGCACGATCTCGGTATCCTTTCGATACAGCAAATATACCTCGACTTGATCCACTAAATGCCTTCTGATATTTGGCTTCCGGGAGATTTTATGGAGTCATTTGGCACGAGTTTCTTGGTAGTGGTGTTCATAGTCAATCTCCACGCGACGCCACGCTACAGAAGCCTTGACAAACTATAGAAGCTATTTTGAAGGACATTATTTCATGTAATTCAAAGCTTGCAGAACAGTAACATTTATTTTCGTCCCCAGTCTATTCTACCGAGCATAAGCTTTCATTTGATGTATGACTCACTGCCGTAGCCTCTTTTGTTCTAAAGCTATTGTAATTTAAACGCTATCTTTTGTACTACATTTTCTACTCTTATTCCCAGCTTTGGACATAATTGTGTTTTCCTAATTTTTTGTGCGTTCTGGTGCGGTTAGTCATCTATTTATTCATGTATCATTGTGCACTAATCTGAAATCGGGGACCAAACCGGAATTGAGAATAAATCGAGTGGTGTTCCAGTTGGCTTGTCTTCTCTCACTCGCGTGTTTGTCAGCCAATCAGATGATAGAACAGCTTTCGTCTCTCTACTCCAAATAGTTGGTGTCACTTCAAACTCATTCATACTAGCCTCAAGGTTAAGCCAGTCATCCTATTGCGTGAAGGTCTTAATTTAGATTAGACAAGTTATTCTGCACAAAAGTGGGTAGACAGACCAAGGACGTAACGCCTAGATTATATATTTACTAAATATCGGTGCTCGTTTCTACTTGGATGATACGATTTTTTACTGGCTTCGTAATTGATGTTGAATATAACAGATGGAGATTACCATCAGGTGTATGAAAAAGAATTTGTAATTGTGTCATCTTTAGCTATAATGCATCCCTTTCAACCAGCCTGACTAATTATTTGAACACCAAAAATAATATTCAGCCTTCCTGTAAATAAACACCGCCTGTAGATCTTCTAGCCTTTCTGATTGGGAGAAAGGGACGAAAATTATGGCACTATATTTCCCCACAAACTCATGCAAAAAACTACACAGGTCTCACAGGATCACACTACAAGTAATCAGACCCATCATATAAATGTATCGCTAAAAAATTCAGA